TATTAAGTGAAGTAAGCCAAGCCCAAAGAAACATAGGTCCCATGGTTTCCCTTATTTGCAATAACTAGTATATGTCTGGGACAAGCAGAAAAGGTCAAAAGCTATGTACATATGACCAGATAAGATGATGTTAAGCGAAATGAACCCCAAGATAGGGACACAAGTGGTTTTTTTCTTTCTTGCTATTGTTCCTAACCTATTTATAATGTACCATGTGATTTTTTTTTGTTGCTTTGTATGTTCCTCCCCCAGGGTATAACCCCTGTTTTCACTGTGTTTGATGTCGGCGCCCTGCATCTTGTATATACACTTCTCCAGCTTGGGGAGGGGAAGGGAAAAAACAAAATGCTTAAATAGGGATACGGGGTGACCCATTGTAACAATGAGATTTACAAGATGTCATGTTGAAAAACAAACTTTACAATTTAAGTGGTGAGGTGGGGGGGACGGGGAAGTATAGTTGTGGAGGTGGGAGGGAAAGGAGGGTAGGGGAAAAACAAAGGAGGAGGTAACAATGCTTGATAGGAAATGTACTCATTACCTTACTCATGTAACTGTAACCCCTCTGTTCAGTATTTTTACAATAAAAATGTATTTAAAAAAGAAAATTTGAAAATTGTTTTGGTTGAACTCATAATTTTTCTTGCTTGTTTTGAACTTAGGATCAGGCATAATTATATAGTCTTAATAGCTACTCAGTGGATAAAAGTTGAATAAATAGATGGGACAGAAGCCTGATGGTTAAATATGCCAGTATTTAGAATTAAATTGGGAGCTATCTCACTTTGCCTTGTTCCTCTCTGGTTGCTATCTATGACCTCATTCCTTGATTCATATGGAATCTTAAGAATACCACAGACTTGTTCACAGTAGTGATTCAGGCATCTCTGAATCATCAGAACTGAGATGGAGGGAGCTAGACTTTATATCTGAAGGATACATGTTTCATTCATTTACTTACACATTGTCCTATAAATACTTATTGAATGCTTATTAATCCTTGAGAAGGAAAAGTTTGTATTATAATATCAAAATTGTTTTAGGATCCATAATCTAGTCTGCTCTCCCACTTTCCTCAAACAAAGAATGGGACACATCAGGAAATCTCTACTTACTGGAGTCCCAGTGGTGGTAATAGGGACAAGAGATGCCCTACAGAGAGCAGTGGCATTCAATAGCAGGTCAGCATCACTAGATTAGTGGCAGAATAAAATGTCTTCAGAATGGAAGTCCAGTGTAGTTGGCACTGCCTGATAGAGAAGCCCTGGAAGTGGTGATAGCATTGTAGGAAGAACAGGAGAATCTCATGGAAAACTGAATGCAGAGGCTGTCTTTATGGTGTCCAGCCTATGAGAAGCAGCTGAGTAGTAAGCCATATAGGAAGTGGTATCACAAGGAGCTAAGGGACGAGAAGAGGCAGAGAGACACGGTAAAGACAGAAGGTGGAAAAGGGCAGGTCATTGTGGCTTTTATGTGAGCTAGTGAGACATTCCCCTTGTCCTGCCTGTTATCTGAAAGAAGTGGGGTTGGGAAGGACAAACATTGTCATAGCTAATGATTCCGTGAACTACTTTTTTTTTTTGTCAGCTGTGGAGCTTAAACTCAGTAATCTTAGTCTTAGTTATTCTTTTTTTTTTTTTTTTTTGTCAGTCGTGGGGCTTGAACTCTGGGCCTGGGCGCTGTCCCTCAGCTCTTCAGCTCAAGGCGAGCCACTCTACCAGTTGAGCCACAGCACCACTTCTGACCTTTGCTGTTTATGTGGTACTGAGGAATCAAACCTATGGCTTCTTGCATGCTAGGTAAGCACTCTACCGCTAAGCCACATTCCTAGTCCTTATTCTTTTTTTTTCTCCTATTATCTCTTCCCTCCTCCACCTTCCTCACTTCCCCCACCCCCAACTTATAAAGCTCATTTCCAACATAATGTTTTGTGAGTATCATTGTTGCAATGTGTCCTTGTTTGAGCATTTTATTATTCCCCTTCCTCTCCTCAAATTAGATAAATGTATATATACAAGATGCAGGGTACCAAAATCAAGTATAATGACAACAGGGGATAGGGGTAAGAACATACAAAAGAAACAAAAAAAAAATCACATAGTACATTAAAAACAACAACAATGAAAGACCTCTTGTGTCCATATCTTAGGGTTCATTTTGTTTAGCATCATCTTATGTGGTCATACGTACATGAGCTTTTATGCTCATCTGATAAAATTATCCTATATATATACTAATTATTGCAAATGAGGGAAACCATGGGACCTATATTTCTTTGGGTCTGGCTTACTTCACTTAATGGGTCTTTTGATGCCTCTCCACAAGAGGAAAAATTTTAATTTTATTGTGATTGGGAGAATATAAAAGTTCATTTTAATTTAGAGCTGTGTTTTTGTGTCATTTCTGTCTTAGTTCTTTTTCCCAACACCTTTGAAAAATATTAGACAAGTGCATTTTAACAAACGATAACCTTTTAAAAATAGGCTTTGTGAAGAAATGGAAAATAGGGTGTGGAGCTTGCTGTGGGATTATCAACCAGACAGATGGATCTCAGGTGGTGGTACAGCAGCTGCTTTTTAAACCTTTTAAAGCTTGTTTTATTTTATGAAAATGTAATTGAACCACAAAATGAAATGAAAGCATAAAGTGCTAAATGCAAATGCTGAACTAGTATAGGGCTATGTTGTTCTCCTGGGAATTCTTGGTTATTCTCTGCATTTTATTTGTTCAGTTGGAAAACCTCTGTTCTAAAGGACAAAAAAAATTGTCTTAAAACCTAATGACTGTGTCTTATTTTTTTTTATTAGCTCATTAATGGAAAAACAGGTCAGATTGATTACCTGACTGAAGCTCAAGTTAGCTGTTGTTGTTTAAGTCCAACTCTTCAGTATATTGCATTTGGAGATGAAGATGGAGCCATTGAGGTATTCACTTCCAGTCTTCAGTACAGTAGTTACTTACTAAAAATTTATTATAGGTGTGGGATTGTACATTTATTAGAAACAAATCTTTTATGATCCATCATTATTTCGTTGAGACTATAGATCATATCTGACTGGTTATACATTTTTTAGATTGCCTTTACTACTATTTCTCATGCTTTTTTTTTGGTTCTTCTCTACCTAGTTGTTTTTTTTTTTTTCTTTTCTTTTTTTTTTGTCAGTTGTGGGGCTTGAACTCTGGGCCTGGGCGCTTCCCTGCACTCTTCAGCTCAAGGCGAGCGCTGTACCACCTGAGCCACAGCACCACTTGGAGTTTTCTAGTGGTTTATTGGAGATAAGAGTCTCACAGAGTTTCCTACCCTAGCTGGCTTTGAACCGTGATCCTCAGATCTCAGCCTCCTGAATAGCTAGGATTACAGGCATGAGCCACTGGCATCCAGCTCTACCTAGTTGTTTTCTTATCTTCTACTTAAATACAAAAGCATTTTTTTCCACCTCCTTAGAAGCTCAGCTGTGTGAAGTGTAAGTGGTTTCCATTTTGGTACCATTAAGCCTTGTTGAGTATGTAGGGCCGCCCTTGCTTGCCTGTTCCACCAGTCCTTGCTCTTCTATCTTTGGTGTTAAAAGTACATCTGTTCACCACCTGAAATTCTTATCTAAAAAGCCCAAATAAGAGAAACAAAGTTAAAGTTAAAAAAAATTGTATGATAAAAATCTCACTTTGGATAAAAGTATTGTCTTCATCACATTCAAAATGCATAACAAAAGCATATTTTTGCCTTGCTATGTAGTTTCTTTTTTTAAAATTGTTATTAGAAAGGTGATGTAGAGAGGAGTTATAGTTATATAAGTCATGTAACGAGTACATTTCTTTTTGGACAATGTCACTCCTTCCCTAGCTCTCTTGCAGTTTCTTCCCCAGCTGTATAATTTCTTTCTTTCTTCCTTCTTCTTGGTTTTTTTTTTTTTTTGTGTGTGTGTGTGTCAGTTGTGGGGCTTGAACTCTGGGCCTGGGTG